TGGTGATGATCAAGTGCTTCGACTTGGAAAGAAGAAAGAGAAAACAAAAAGCTCAAGGCAAAGGTATAATTTGTAAGAGCTATTTTGTTTTAATCAAGACACTTAGAGAGTGTGATCACATTTAGGATTGATAGCCGCTATCTATTAAAAAAATCTAAAACTCGTATCGAAATGCGGTTATCAAAGTGCCACTAGATGCTCTAACTCATTGCATATGCATTTAGGATCTAGTGGAGTGCTAAAACCCTTGAAAATGTTTGTGAAAATATGCTAACACTTGTGTACACGGTAATACACTTGGTGGTGTTGGCCCATTTACAAAGGAGGTGGTGTTTGCAGGGTTGAGATGGATTCGGCCCTTTCGGGAAAATGGAATGCCTATTTTCTATTGCGTCGGATGCAAATTCTTATGGTTGGCACATTGGAGAAAGGGTGGAGAAGATAGAAGTGAGAACAGAGATGTTGCCGCAGCTGTCGGTCCGATGACCGGACGCCAATCCAGAGCACCGGACGCCGATGCTTGCTGCGTCCGGTCGCGAGGATCCTCGATATAGTGGCTAGGGTTTACCACGGAATTACTTGCAATCCGTCGAGAAAACCAGTTTTGACCCTGTCTTAAACTCGACCGGACGCATGAGAGTTCTAGCGTCCGATCAGTTTCAACCAAAGGCGTCCCGTCAGGCGTAGCCGTTGGAATCGTGAAACAGCGTTTGAAGCCGATGACACGTGGCGTCCATCATGTATACCGGACGCCGAGTCCAGTGGTCCGTCAAGTGGACCGGAAGTCCCCGGTCCGAGCGAGCATGATACCCTAGGTGAAGGGGTATAATGGCTTTATTTCGTGGGGCTTCTATTTAAGCCCCATGGCGGAATGTGGCTCACATCTTTGGCCATTTCTCTTGACATAGCATACTTGTGAGCTTAGCCAAAGCCCTCCCACTCATCTACATCATTGATTCATCATCATAGTGAGATTGGGAGTGAATCCAAGTGCATTGCTTGAGTGATTGCATCTAGAGGCACTTGGTGATTGTGTTTCATCATGTGATTTCGCTTGTTACTCTTGGTGGTTGCCGCCACCTAGACGGCTTGGAGCAGCAAGGATCGTTGAGTGGAGGAGGTGATTGTCTCCGACTCGATCGTCGTGATTGTGAGGGGTTCTTGACCTTTCTCGCGGGCGCCAAAAGGTACTCTAGTAAATTGCTTGTGGCTTGTGTGATCCTCATCTTGTGTTGGTTGTGCGGCACCCTATTGAGGGTTTGGCAAGTGATGCCAATCAACATGCAAACCTCAAAGTGAGTGAATCGCCACAACGAGGACTAGCTTGCTTGGCAAAGCAAGTGAACCTTGGTAAAATCATTGTGTTCTTCATTTGATTCCGAGGTGATTGGTCTACATTGGTATTCATTATTGTGATTGATTGGTTCCTACCACTACACGGCGGTATAACTCTCTTGCTCACTCTTACATTACCGCAAACTAGTTATCAAGCTCTTTAGTATAGCTAGTTGTGAGAGCTTGTTTGTTTGATTAGTGTTGCTCTTTAGTTAGTCTTTGAGAGCACACTAATTTAGCTAAGTGTCATAGCTATTGTGTGGATATACACTATTTGAAATAGAATTGTGGTAGATGGCTTGCATTTTAGTAGGCTAGCGCAACACTCGCTTCGCCGCAAAATTGTCTAACACATTTTGTTAAGTGTTGTTGTAGATTTTTATTAGGCTATTCACCCCCCCTCTAGCCATTAGGACCTTTCACCCCCGCAGCTCCTCAACCGTCCCCTACCGTTGTGCTTGGGGCTGATCTGGATGCCTTGCCCGCTGGTGCCCTCGTGTCTCCTCCCCTCCCTCCCCCTGGACATCGTTCGACATGTTAGTCAAGGTGCCCCCACGCCTATGGTTGGCGTCGCTACCACGACCGCCCACTACCACCTATTGCTGCCTAAGGGGAACGTCTCCATTATAACCCAGCACCCCATCCATGTCATCCTCCGCAACTGCTTCACCATCCTAATCTTCGCTCACCCATCGTCATCGCGGTTGCCCCAGCCAAGACTACCAGGCCATGCCACCACAGGGTTGAGAAGCTCCGCCGACACCTCCAGCCAAACTACCGCCACCATGCCCACAACTCGACTTTAGACCTCTCGACGGTCCTTCCTCTCCCTTCTTCTCTAAGTCCTAGTCCTTGTCTTTTCTGCGGTCCGCCACCTTTCAGGAAGAGGCGACAGGACGAGGACGGTTGTGACTTGTGAGTGACGTGTGGTGAGGGCTCTGAGAGCCATTGGGGAGGGTTTCTTCGAGCAGATGAGCTGCGGGGCACCCCCACCCAGATGAGGAGGATGAGAGGAGGTGGAGAGCGAGGCTCCTCACCTGTGGATGCGGTTGAGGCACACATGAATTACTTGCAATTGTGAAAGTGTTGGTTCTGTTTTAAACTATCAAATGCATGAGAGTGCAACAAAGATAGTTGGCTTCATTTCCTTTAATAATGGCGTGAGCAATAAAGTATATATAATCAAATTTTTGGAGCAACTCATGTATAATGGCCTCCTTATTAATAGCATGTGTAGGTAATAAAGAAACATGATATTCTAGGTTAATTTTTGTATAATGACTTTTTTTTTTGAAAATGATGTATAATGATTGTAGAATACAGTTTATCGATACCTTGAGAGCACTTTAATTTTATTTTTCCCGATTAATAACATTATAATTTGTAGGCATTTGAGAATACCATGGTGTGTGGTGAAGTTGTAGTCGTGTCGTGTGGGACAACATGCATGATGCATGTATGTACGTCCGGAGGTACGGCATTGGCATGGAGGCAGCCTAGCCTAGGCCCAGCCCATCTCAAAAGCGGCTTGATGAGATCTGGGCCTGGGTCGGTCGGGGCCCGATCCAGCCGCCGTGGCCATAGGCAACGAGCGCATTGCACGCACGCCAGAAACGTGGTTGGCGAAGCCACCACCCCCGCAGGTGCATGCTTGCGGCACGGCCACGCCGGAGAGACCCCGATCACTCAATGCATGCAAAAGCCACCAGCAGCGCCGCCAGGTCAATATGGGCGTCACACAAAGGCAAAGCTGGCCACGCGTGCATGTGCGATGCCCGTGTGCCGTGCGTCGTCTTCGCGCCTACGCCGCTACGCGCATGCACCTGCCCTCTTTACCCAGCTGTCGGCTTTGCCCCCAGGCCCCGGCCCTGCCAACCGGCAACCACCCCTCCCACGGGACGAGCTCACGAGCGCGTACACGTACACGCCTTTCTTGGCCACCACCGCCACCACGTACGTGCCGCCGGATGGGCTCGGCCTGCGCGTGACCCGGCCGACGTATGGCGTCGCGTGCGAAGCTTGCCGTGGCGCCTGCGTGCCCGGGTCCCGGCCGGTCGATCAAGCGCACAACGTGTGCGTCACGTTAATTCTAGCCGCCACGCCAATCTAGCTTAGCTACGTTCTTGCGTCGTCTGTCCTCTCAGCCGCGTCCGCAGCTCTCGTGACGATGGAGCGTTGCTCCCCGATCTCCACCACCCGAGCGATAGTGATCGAGCACGCACACATGCGCATCGCGCGCACAGCCCGCCATCGCAGCACCACGTCTCACGCGTACCTAAAAGCCACCGATGCCGATGGCACCTTCGCTCGTCTCCGTCCTGTGGGCTGTGCCCGTGCGCCCTGCCGCGCCGTGTCATGTCTTGCCACCTCAGTCGTGAGCGTGAGGCTTCTTCCGGGACTCTAGGGCCTGTTTGATAGAGGCCACAGGGGTGGCCGAGCCCGTCAGCCAGGCCTCGGCCAGCCACGGCCTGATCTAGAGCACACATAAGGGTGTGTTTGATTTCCTGCAGCTAAGGAGACGGTTTAGGAGAGGTTGTGTTTGTTTTCTTCCAGCTAGTCTGGTCCAACATCAACTACCTCCAACTATCAGATGGAGATTTTGTTTGATTTCAGTCCGGCTAGCCATAGGCTAAATACCAGAACTAGCAGTGTATAGAGAAAACAACAACAGATTTGGGAATGCAAATGTGATCAGACAAGAGGATACAACAACAGCAATGTGATTTTGATCAGATTGGCCTCAGGACTAATTATTGTTGTAATGCATTAATTAATCATACCTGCCTCGAGATAATAAAAAATCAATGTGACAGAGAGATCAATAGTACAAATGTAAGTTCAGTACATACAACAGCAGTCCAAAAGCATAACCAGCTAAGACATGGGTTCATGAGACACAGAACAAAAGTATGAAGGCAAGTAATGAAACCTAGGTTGTTGTCATCATTGGCCTACACATTGCAATTACACGAGGAACACTTATTTATCTTCGTCCAAAGAGCAAGCCATGAAAAAACAATAACAACGGGAAATAGTTGTGCAGCCACCTCATTAATTTTTTTCCACATTGTGCATCATAGGTCAGATCATAAACTTATTTTAGACACCAACTCATGGAAACACAGGTATTAAATCCAAGAAATAACAGAAATATATAAAAGCATGAAGTGAAGATTCAAACAAGGCCATCCCCAAAATCATGGAAGCTATGAAATCCATGGGCACGTCCATTCACTACCATCAGCATGGTATGAGCATGCTGTTGCTAGGGAATGGATGTGTCCCACGGGTTCAATGACACCCATGAAAAGCACAATGTAATACAGTCCTCTCAATAGAACAGGAACATAAAGTGACAAATATAGTAGCAGTAGCAGTAACCAACAGAGGTTACTAATTAATACATCAAGTTTGTCTCCAAATAAAGATTCAGCCCACAACAAATAGGCACTTAAGTGAACTACCTAGTTAAACTTGCTCAGATATAGTTAGCCACCCTCCAACTATGCAAACCCAAAAGGACAGGTGTTGGTCAGCCATCTACCATGCACAGGAGCTACACCAAAATGGAACCCAAAAGAGAAGAGAGTAGGTCAGGGAGGTGGAGGAACTATACATCTCAAGAATCAACCCCATCCTTACCTTCCTGTCCTAGATGGATAGAACTACATATAGTAGTTCTTGGCAAGGTAGTTCATCAGCCAAATATCCCAATGACTGATTGCCATGTTCACAAAGCCCCTGCCAAGGGCCTTGTTTTTCAGCAGGTAGGTGTAGGCAACAATGAGAACTTCAGTGGTGAAGCCAGGCATCTCCATCACTGCAAGATAGTGGTCAGGATCCACATGTGCAGGCCCAGTCTCTCTAAGTGTAGAGGCTACATTGTTGACAGCATCAGTCATGTTATTCATCATCAGCATCTCTTTCTCACTGAAATTACCCCTCTATCTCTTTACTCCCACAGTGGAAGTGAGCAGCTCAGTTGCCTTGCTGCCCTCACCCATCTTAGGGCTGCATTTGACATCAGCAGCAGTGGTGAAGCCCTAGCCCTCAATCTTAGCAGCAACACTGTCAACATTGTTCACCCCAAGTGGCTCACTGGAACCTAGGGCAAACCTACCAGTGGCCATGGAAGAACCAAATATGGTCTTCATCTCAGTGTAGAGCCTGATTGGGGTGTTCAGGAATTTAGCATCCTTAGGATGGTCCTACAGTCATGTGTGCTTAATTAAATAAACAGAGAAGAAGAGAATAAGTGGCCAGAAGAGGAAGAGAGAAAGGCAATTGACTCTTTTTCTACCTTGCAGTGGCCTATGTAGTGCTCAGGTTCAAGCATTATGGCATTGACATCATGATCAAATAGTGCACCACTAAGGTCCTTCAACTTCACAACCCTAGCCCACTTCTGCCTCCACTTCCTCAAGTGGTTGTACACTTAAGTAGGGCTCATAGCCTCACCACAATAATCTAGTAGAGCCTTTGCCACATAGTTCACATCCTTATCCTTGAAGCACTTGTCAGCCCTACTGCCATCAGTAACTATCTGGGCCATCCTCCGAAGGACAAATCCAGAGGTGTTGTTATTCCACCTCACGGGGGCCTAGCACCACCAACACCCCCTGGGCAGGCACTACCACAGGTGCATCAGCCCCCACATCCACCACCTCAGGTGCAGCAACATTCATTGTTGGCACAGCAGCAGTTGCCCCAGCACCAGCCACAATAGCCATGTCAGCAGCTACCACAAACCTAGCCATCCTTATAAAGTCACCATACATCACATGAAGACAAGCATCAACAACATATAGTATAGGAAGATGAACAAGACATAGAAGATGAACAACAGATATAAGATTGGTCTCAGTCATGTCCATGAAAACATAATCATCATAAAACAATTTCACATTGGTCTCAGTCATGTTGAATAGTTATTACAGATGATGAATACACCACATGAGTTCCATATCCAGGGTCTACAAACTGAAATTATACAAGAATGTAAAGCATGAATCAAATCCTAGCAGTACCCCTACCAGCCCACATGACATTGCAAATGCCCTCCCTCCCATTAGACATGACAGTGGAGTCCTGGGACAGCATGTCTCCCACAGGCTGAGTTTCATCACCCTCAGGCTGACTGCCTAGGAAGCCCTCCTCTTCTGACACTACTTCATCCATGCCAAACCCAATGATCCAATTATGGAGAATACAACAGGCCAGTACAAGCTTCACTTGAGTCTTGTATGTGTGGAAAGATTTGTTGTCTAGGATATGAAATCTGTTCTTGAGTGCACCAAAAGCTCTCTCCACTGTCACCCTAAGGGATGAATGCCTTAGGTTGAACAGTTCCCTGGCATTGGTAGGATAATTACGGCTCCCAAATTCAGACAAGTGGTACCTCACCCTCCTATAGAGAGGGAGGAAACCAGTGCGGCAAGATAACCAACATCTACCAGGTAAAATTTCTCTACAAGTGGACCAAAAGATATACTACAGTGAAGGTGTGTGGCAAGTTAAAGGATAAAAGTGTATGGACTATTAATTTCAGTTACCTTCAGGAACTATGAACCCATCATTCCTATCGATTGCATTAGCAAGAATGAGTGCATCATGGGCAGAGTCCTCCCAGCCAACTAGGACATAGGTAAACTTGAGATCAAAGTCTACAGCAACCATCACATTTTGTGTGAGGTTGTGTTTTCTACCCTTGAAAGCCTGTTGCGTGTGTCTAGACACCCTTGTCAACACATGTGTGCCATCAATGGCACCAATACAGTCCTAGAAATGTGTAGGATAGTGGATAAGTGCAAACACAGCAATTGGTTAACCCAAGGCAGATAAACATGAATAACAAGTACCTGCATATATGGGTACCATCTCTGGCTACCCATGATTTTTGGATGTGTGGCAATGGTAGGAGGCTTGATCATTTCATTCCTAAGCTCACCAACAGCATAGAGAACTTAGTGGAAGACTCTACTAACTATCTCAATGGACCTCTTAAAAGACTGGTGAACTACCCTAAACCTTTTGTTGTGACCAACAATATGGAGGAACATTGCAACCTGCTCCTCAATAGAACACCCACTGGTTTCTCTAACAAGACCTCTACCTCTAAAAAGGTTGCATAGAGCAAAAAAGAGCTCTGGTCATACGCAACATAGCCAAACACTCAGCATTAGTGTTGTTAAATATCATTTAGAGGGTGGATAGCCTATGCTGCTGGCTTAATGACCTAGGACCATAAAGGACAGGCTCTAGCTAGCCCTAATTCTTCTCAGTCTAGTGACAAAAAATGAAAGCATAACCACAACCATGACAGCTGCTTGTCTGGCCATCATCTCACGTTGTGCAGTTAGATCCATCTGCATGCATTCAACATTCAAACATACAACTCAGCTGTAGTAGACCCTGGCTGACCTCAACATAAAAGCACAACCATTCATATCAAAAGCTAACAGCACGGCTGCATAAAAAGAATGCCTACAATGCATTAGACAGAATCATCATCGACCATGAAAGAATTAACATTTCAGCATACAGTGGACAGATTCATCATCGACCATATAAAAAGTACCAACAATGCAACATAAATGTCTCAGTGCTCGAAATCAACATTCATAGCAACTACACAAGCATTATGTACCCAAACAATCATTCCACAGAGACAAATCGAAATCAAAATAGGACAATAGAAAACCCTAGAATGAAAGCAAAGGGAATTTGGGGGATTTCACCTCGGGGGAGTCGACGGAAAAAGGAAGAAGCGCAAGACGGAGGAGAAGAAGAGCCGCAGTGGAAGCAGAAGCAAATCCGGTACGGGACGAAGCAGATCAACCCCAACCGAGACCAGCCGCACCATCGAAGGAGGAAGAAGACGAAGGAGGAAGACGACTGCATCCACGGAGCCCGACAGGTGGCGCAGCAGCGCCGTGGCCAAGCGGATCCCGACTGCTTGAACGGAGACGAAGACCGGAAAGGAAGAAGCCCGCCGCGCCGCACCACCACCACACCAACACCGCCGGTCACTCAACACGAGCGCAGTGGGGAAGATGGAGCTGGAGGAGGGAGAAGAAGGCAGCGAGGGAGGAGGGCGACATATAAAGGCAGTGGATTTCGGTGAGGAGAAGTACGGGAGGAGGTTTCATGGTTCCCGCGTGAGCCGCCGCCGCCGCATCGAAATCGTCCTCCCGAGGACGGAGGGAGCCTAGCTCCAAAGAAACAAATCCTAGGAGCATTTCCCAGATGCAGGAGAGAGAGTGCGTTTTGCACGCGCAGAGTCAAGCCGTCGGCTGGGCCAAGCAAATCAAACAGGTCGGGTGAACGTTGCAGCGTTGCTTGGTGGATCGCTGCTTGCCCAGAGCCAGAGATGCCGTGCTCTGCTTTCTGCCGCCGCGCCCGCCGCGCCCATCCACCACACGGGAAACGAAACGAAACGATTTCGCGTGCACCTGGAGGGCCTGGGCCGGCAGCTGGTGCTGGGCTAGACCACCGCACCGTCGTACCTTGATGGGCAGGCCAGCTTGCCCAGGTTGGCTATCAGCCTGTGTATCCTAATCCTATCTCTTGATTCTGAAAATTGCATCCGTGACTCTTCAGCCAATGCAAAGATCCTGACACCAATGCAAGGAAAAGCTAAAGCACAACTTGTAACTAGTGTAGTGTTCAGATCATCACGATCACGCGGAGTATCAACGCATAGGCATTTCGTGATACGCATAATGATGTCCATGACCGCGATTAGGAAACATGCAGACACAGATACAGCTTGGACTCCTCACCTTTAATTTGTTTCTTGATCATATAGAGAGCTACAAAGACAGCTATTCAAAAATATATAATAACAGCAAATCAGCAATACTCCTACAACAAGAACATAGTTAAGCACGTTTCAAATAACAAACTGTCCAAGCATGCTTCACTTGAAGCTTTATTTATTTACTGAATGTCGAGATCCCCTCGCCAGGAAGGACACATCCAAAAGGCCGTGCATCAGTTCTATATGGATACCTTATACTGTATATGGTTACATCTTTAATTTAGGTCGTGCGATTATCTATATGTATATAACTACTTGAGTAGTCTAGTGATTTTCTGCCTCGCCACAGTTCTGCGTGGCTGCCACCATCTCGATCAGGTCCATCTCCTCCTTCACATGCACAGTTTTGACATGAGCTACTGGTCCAGCAGGCTCAGCAGTACATCCGAGGATGTCGGCGTCGTCATCCCACATCATCATCATCTCCATGTCTATCTCAGGATCCACCTTGATCGCAGCATGGTCGATATGGTTGAAGATGTAGTTCATGTCGATGTCGTCGTCGTCCATGGCGTACACTTGGAAGGCGTCCTCGTTCGTGCCGAAAAGACCGTCACACATTTCAACTGAAAAATCGTCACAGATAGGGGCAAGAAGCTCTTCGCAGGACTGAGACTCGCTGCAGTTGTTGTACTCATGCATGCTGGGAAGAAGAATGCCTTGGGAATCCAGTATGTTGGACGACGAGCTGTGTTCCAGCGCTATTTCATCAGTCTTTGCTGACTTTACTCCGAGAGTTTCAGGTGAGGACGGTGACTGTGTAGGTTCAGCAAGAGGTGCAGCAGCGCTCTTGTTGCTTGGGCCAACAATGCCAAGGCCTTTGATGTAGCTCTGCAGAAGGGTGCCTGATTTGGGCCCCTTAAAGCTAGTACGGCTCCGCCTCCGTGCAAACTGCCTTCTCTTTGTTGCGTTCCAATGGTTCTTTATGGAGTTCTCTGTCCTGCCGGGTAGCCGCTTTGCTATCTCTGCCCATTTGTTGCCCACTTCCTTGTGTGCTTGTATCAGAACCATGTCTTCCTCGTCAATCCAAATGTCTTTCTGCATGCATTTGAGGTTCCATAAATAAAAGGAGGTTAAATAGATGAATGAATTGTATTGTCTAGATATTATCATAATGTCATGAGCTTTTTTATATCGTAAAACACCTCTAAAATTATAGAAACCTGAATGGCCATTTTCACGCCTTAAATTTCTTGTGTTTCCCCTATTTTCTTTTTATATAAAGAATTTCCCAATTACTAATGGCGATTGGCTAACCCCATAGATTTCATTTTATTTTTTTTTTTTTTGGAGAGAGTGAGGGGGGTTTCTCATTGTTGTGAGTTGTGACCATCTATCATTCAGTTTTTTGAACTTGTTACACGATGTCAAGCTAAAAAGAATCCCTTTCTTGTTTTACTACTAGACAAAAAAATATAACTAATACTCCCAAATAATGATGTACTTTAATATAAGGTGAATAATTATTTGATTGTATACAAACCCAAAATACAGTAACACGTGACTTCTCTGTTCTCTCCGTTGTTCCAATCTCTCTGGTTAATCTCTATCCCAGTCTCTCCTCTCAGGCACTCAATGCATCTAATACACAACAAAAAAATTACTAAGGCTGACTAGTAACTCCTAGAATTTATTACTGCGCCCATAATGCATGTTTGACCTATGACCGTTCTAATATTACTAAATGTCAGAGAACCGGCCAAACAAAATAAAGAAATGTCCAGCACTGGAATACGGTAAAAACTAATCCCTTCGTTTTGAAATATATGGCATATTAGGATTCAAAAAAGTCAGACTTCATAAAGTTTGACCAATAATTATTCAAAATATTTGCATACTTTGTACATAAAATTTGTACGGCTAGATTCACATCCTAAACATCTTTTAAATACAGATCGATTTTGTAGCAATTGATGATATATTGTAAGATGGTCAAAGTACACTTCTAAAGACTTCTCCAAATTCTAATGCGCCTTATAAAAAGAAGCACTGGGAGTACTATATAATTGATAAGAATGCATAGTTTGCTACATGTTGAGAAGCAACAGAATAGTATTGGCATTGAACCGAAGGATGTGCTCAGAAACGAAAAACGTTGAACTGATTAAGGAAGAAGTTTACCTTGATGTTTGGCCTCAAATGGTTGTGCCATCTTTCTCTGCACTGCTTTCCCACTCTTCCTGGCAGCAGTTGTGCTATGTAAGACCACTTCCTCAATCCAAATTGTTCCACTAATTTTACCAGCTTCCTGTTAACCAAGAATGAGCTCATTGATAGATGAGAGAGAACAAGTCATGAATTACAGTAAACAATAGAGAACTTTTACTTTTAGGAGGAATAAGAAAAAAAGTATTGATAGAATTTAACTATTACCTATCTTCTGCTGGAGTCCACTGCCCTTTCACAACATTGACTTTCTTCAAAGAGGTCTTCTTTCTTGGCAGAAACCTGCCATTCATCTCATATGCCTTATATGATCCAAGGCCACCGTTCATGAGATTTGAAACCTCAGTTTTGGGAGTCAGAAGAGGCACTTGAGTTCCAACTCTATTACCGACTGATGAAGCATTGTCGAACATAGGCTTCTTGATTTCTCTTTCTGCAAAGAACCGGCGTCCAAGGTCGTTGAAGGTTGCAGACGTATAGTCCCCAATAACTTCAAATGGATGATGATCAATAGGATGGAGCTCATAGCATCCATTTTGCTGCATATACGAATCAAATGGTAGGTAACTAATCCCCGTATGGGGCTGAAAGCAACTGAAATCCATGAGGATCTCAGAAGCTATGTAAGATGGAGGGAGAGAGATTGAGTTGCGAGTTTGCTATCTAACTGCATCTCTTAAAAAGGAGGATAGTACAAGATACCGTACTAGTATTATATAGAGTTCTAGACAAGGTTTGTTCCCTTCAACACAACAACTTAATGAAAGCTTAATGTTTTATTACTTATTGCTAGTTAATGACCTTATTTACTATCACTAATTCTTAACGACTTCTTGTATTCCATGGAAAGAGGTAATAAAGTGCCCTTTAATCTCAACCTTGACACACACACATCTTAGACCTTACTGCTGCAGATATTGCTAGTGGTGTATATATCCAATATAGAGTGCATGCCATCTAATGACACGATGCAATTCAGATGCTACGGAGTGACTGTACAATCCAACTGCAGACTTTGGAGGCATGCACACAAGGAATTTTTTTGTAGAAACTACAGTGATCAAGTAATATATGGTGACCAAGTAATATATGGAACCGATTGAGGTGGTAATCAAACGTGGAGCTGGAGACGAAGTGCAGAGTGCAGCCGACGACGTGTTGGTGACGGGATTAGGATTGCTCTTGCCTGGTTATGTGTTTACAGAAGGAGAAATACTTAGCCCATGAGCTCTAGAGTTAATCAGTCTCCACATGCACCAAGATGACCTTTCGAAAAAAAAAACATACACTAAAGCTGATCACACCAGAATCACATGAACGAGCAAACATGGGCTCAGTAGTTTCTGACGCCGTCGACTCTCTACCTGCAAGAGGACCGCTGCGGAGTGCGGCGAAACTCAGGCGCACGGGAGGAGAGGATCCATGTCGGCGTCGCCGGCACGCAGCCTTGCGATACGGCGGCAGCATAGAGATGCCTTGCCACCGGATCCTCCGGCGGCAGCCGAGACCCGAGAGGACCGGACCGGACCTCAACTCGTCAAGACGGGAGGGGCTCTCCGTTTCCATCGTGGGATGCCCGTGCCCCAGCCCAGCGTGGCAGAGTGAAGCGGGCCGACGGCGCACGAAAACCCATGTATACTATGGGCCTCAACCCTGCGTAGATCCAGGTCCAAATCTTTGGTCAGGAAATTTCAACGAGATTTTCCTCACTCGTCTATAAAACTGGATTTTTATCTCCATAGCCTTTAAGGGCTTATTTGAATCGGAGGAATTTTATAGGAATTTCAAACAAATCAAATTCCTATGTTTTGCTTACATCACATGCTATGAAAAGACTTGCTTTCCTTCATGAAATGGAGGAAATAAAACATCATTCAAGCTCTTAGAAATTTTTCTTACATGTGAAGGGAGATGAGCAAGCCCTTGTTCATTAGAATGGAGGAGTAATCACGTTCTTATATTCATGTGTCCTAAACACCTATTTTCTATAAAATTTCTGTGTGTTTTCAATCCTCTGTTTTTTCTGCCTATACTCATTTCTTATTCCTGTGTTTTCTTTTTTTTTCTCTATTTTATATTCCTCCGTTCTAAACAAGTCCTAAAATTATTTATTTTCACATTTAGACTTTTTGCCTGGCACTACGTGTTGCGAGGAGTAGATCAGACTTCATTCATAGTTGAGGAAGATAAATCAGAAGACTAAGTATTCGCAAAAAAAGAAAACTAATGTTTTTATATAACATTTTAAATATTTAAGGCATATATACCACAAAAGTTTGGAAGAATAATACTGTACAGTACTAGTAGAAGATAAACAACACGGTTTTTTTCTCTGGATCGACCCAAAAAAATGATTTGTTTTTGGCGAAATATAGAGAAATTTGGAGGATTTTTTTCTAGAAAGTTTTGACCCGGGAGACGGTGTCGCGGCGAGACGCTGAAGCGGTCCGGTCGGTCGGCTTGAGCGTGACGCTGACTCGCCGAGTGGTTCCAGAAACCAAGCCCAGTACCCGCTATGCGTCACCACTATCGCAGTCTCGCCTCGTCCCCACCGCCCACCCAAAGCCCCAAAAGCACGGAGCCTTTTACCTAAGTGTCATTATAAAAGAATAAAAGATGGTCGTGACCTACATGTCACTAAAAAATGTGAACACACCTATATGCCATGACACTTTACTTTTTTTTGCCTCTTAAGCCATTCCGTCCACTTTTTCATCTAACGGTGTCCATCTGCGTTGAAAAAAGTCCCAAATACCCTCACATTGCTTTTTGACCGTGCCCTTCTTTGTTTCCTCCGCCAGTCGTCTTCGTCCTGTCCTCCACCGTGCTCCAGGGTCGGGGGCGCAGCCACCCTCGTGGACGTCAGGGTCGGTCGGAGCCTAGCCTCTCGCTGCCTCGAGCCTCCATCGCCGGCGCGCCCACCGACGGCACCCAACGATTCCACCGCCCGGCCACCGCGATCGACGCGCGCGATGGTCACACAGCCGCGTGCGCCACTGCGCGGGTCGCGTCGCCGCACCGTTGGTAGCGATCTCCCTGCCCACCTGAACTCGCCGGACCCATTCCAGGCCTACGTGCGCCAAGGCCGCCTCAAGCCGAGGACGCCCGCCCCGACCCTACATGCCTCCCGGGGCACGGACAACCCGAAGACGGAGACGACGGCACCGGGGGAGGCCAGCAGCGCAGCGGGCAGTCGGAACCCGCGTGGCGTGCCAGGCGTGGCATGAGCGGGCAGAGATGGCGGAGACGGCGAGGGCGAGGAACACGCAGAGTGGGAGGAAGGCCACCCGGGCGCGGCGAGGAGGAGGAGCTAGCAAGGCACGTGCGCGACGTGGTCACCGGCGAGCGCGCTAGTGGAGGCTTGCGGGCGGCGCGCGACCTGGCTCCTTGGGGGGAGCTCGGCCCCTGGTCGCCGGAGCCGCGCTGCGTGAGCTGCGAACCTGCGAGCGAGGCCTCGACCGCGCGCCGTCTTCTCAGGCCCGGCGGCGAGTGGGGCCGGGGCTCGGGGCAGGCGGTGAATGCTGGCCGAGCAGACGCCAACGCATCGAGCCAGCCCGGTGCATCGCGGACGCCGGCGCATCAGGGCCATGGCCGGCGCATCGCGAATGTGAGAGGGAGAGGGGAAACGGGCTCGTCGGAGTCGAGAGGGGCTCACCGGAGTTGGGAGGGGGCTCGCTGGAGTCAGGATGAGGGTCGCCGGAGTCGAGAGGCCGACGCATCGCGGAGAGGGCCACATGGTCGGAAGAAGATGTCAATGGAGAAAAAAATATAGAGAGCAGTTTACGCCTTGACAGAAGGATATTTTAGACGTTTTCTCTAACTAGGCCCACGTGTCAGGCTAGCAAACGGCAAAAATCAAACGAAGGGAACAGAAGTAAAATATCATAGTATATAGATACATTTTTTTGCGACCAATCTTTTATAACGGCACACAGCTAAAAGGCTCAAGCGCACGGCACGCTGCGAGCAACGCGATTGAGCGCGACGCGGGTGAGAGCCGTGAGGGAGGGCCTCTGCCTCTACGGCTGGCGGCATGGAGAGCGCCGTGCTCGCCTGCGAGGCGCCAACCGCCGGCGCCAGCGCCCACGCTGCCGCGGCGCCTGGAGCGGGAGGGGATGGAGGAGCCGGGGACGTGGTGATGCTGAGGCGGTCGGCCCTCGCGGCGTGCCTCACGTGCCCGCTCTGCGGCCGCCTCTTCCGTGACGCCGCCACCATCACTGAGTGCCTCCACACCTGTGAGTAACTCGCCGCTCCGCCAACCCTTCAGTAACTGGCGCGCATAGGTCTGCTCGGGTCCTGTGGCTCGCTCAAAGCCGTTTTTTCCGGGGTGCTGCGTCGTGAAACGTGGAAGGTGGTCACGGCAATCTTTCCGCGCTTCAGATTTGAAATTTTGCAGCGATTTGTCTGGATTCTGAGGTGATGCGCGAAAGGTGGGCATCTTCACTCGCCCAAACGTTGAGAATTTCTCAAACATTAAAGGGTAAAGGTGTGCGCTTTTAGTGTGTGAAATTCACGTCATCTGTAAGTTTATTGCGGAGTGGGTACGCTCTAACTTTCCGGGAATGGAAGGTTTGGTTCACTTTTGCACTGTTTTTTTTAGGATATTTGAGGTGATCAGCGCGGTTGATTGCATGAGCGGGTGGGTGCTGCGTGTGCACGCCATGATCCATGAGAAAATCACATGGAGCCCGTTTTTACCGGGAGTGTGTTACGGCAGGCTTTATGTTATGTTATGTTATTTATTTATTGCGTAATTGCGTGAGTGTTCTGAACTTAATGTTCACCTAAAAGTGGACTAGCCTTAATGGCCACCTAAGTGTCGTTTCAAGCAAAACGAATTACATAGGTTATTCATTGGAGGTATTTTGGGATGTGAGGCTTTACATAACATGGCAAAGGTGGCGTTTCCACGTTGTAGGCCGGATGTTTTCTAGATTGGTCTCCTAATCCAGCAAAACACATCACAAACCTTTCGTTGCGCTGGGAATAGGCCATATCACATTGCATGGAGAAGTGTTGCATCATTTGTTTATTTTATAGTCCCCACCACAGGTAATGCTTCCTGGAAAAACCGTTGACTGTTAGGTTGGCTGTTCATTTCATTTCTGTAGTGGTTGGGGAAAGAAAAAAAAGAAGGTAGAAGTTGCTAATGTCGAGGCACCATTAGTCCACTAGAAAATAGAAACGTTGCCCAACCTGTTCTTCACAGCTTTGGGTGAGTGTTCCAGCGTGTTTGTAAAGTTGACTTTCTGAGCTAACGTGTGCTATGCACTCTAAGTTAATCTGGTTCATATGTGTGAAATGTATGGTTTTATGCTTCAAGAGTTGCTTATATGGCAAAAAAAATGGTGCTATTTCATTTATCCTGTTCTGGAGATTCTGCAACGCACCATCTTGAGAACAAATATGTTATGCTCTTTGGTCAGGAAACAAAGTCCTTGTTTGTGGCGAGGTGTTGTAGCACATCATTAGTGGGAGAGCCAGAAAGGGGGAAGGACTTTGTTTTTTTTATATATGTAAACTGTGCTTGTAGCCTTAACTGAGGAAGATATGCTAACTAATTTGAAGTCGCTTCCTCAAGCCACACCAAATTGCCACCTTTCCCTTCAGGCTTCGGCTGTGCTATCTATGTAACCAAGCCTGGCTCGCTGCTGGTAGTACCTAACAGTGCTTGGCATAACAAATACAGTATTGTACTACTGTGTTTATTTATTCTTAATTGGATTAGTATCTTCCAACAGTTTTTCTTCATGAATCGTGATTGCACCTTTGCCATTAATGTTATAAATACCATCAGTTTGCAGGAAGTGCATATCAGAGGAGTTCATAAATAAGGAAGTGTGCTGCTGCCCTATTTGTAGCATTGATTTGGGCTGTGCTCCATTGGAGAAACTCAGGTTTGTTTTTTCTTGAAATATATTTATATTGTGTGTGGTTGTATACTATTGCATTGTATTGGGCTGTTTCAATGAACCATTTTGAGTTATGGCATCAGCTTTGATTGTCAGCTAGTGTGAGTGTGCAACATAGCGGAACATACATGGACCAAATCTGTGAAAATGTTCTCCAACATTCTCTCTAGTATCAAAAGTGAGTTAGCCTTTAGCGATCTACTATTTAAATGTGCCGTCCTGGCTTTTGACATTCCCCTGCATTAGCACCCTGCCATGTTGGATCATCTTGTTGTCACAATGAAACCATTGCATTACCATACCGCTGTATTGGTTGCATCATTTAAATTGCTTCTGCTCCATGTAACCTCCTCCTGTACAACCTTGGCTATCGGGTGGTATTAACTTGATTGTAAATATGCTTTATTTTTTGTTAACTTCTGAAATGCCAAGATCGGCCCAGTAATCTAAACTCATTCCCTTTCATTGAAGCAACATGCAACAAGAAAGTTTACTTTTCTGTATGTTAGTTTTTCTTGTAATGCACTTGATCTATTTTATAGCTATAGCTTATGGCTCATGTCAACTAACTTTTTGTACAGAATTGATCATAGCCTACAGTATGTAAGGTCAAAGGTATTCCCTTTTAAAAAACAAAAGGTTGAGGGCCGAGAAGTCACATCACCAATTACATCACCTATCAAGACGAAAGAACGATCTTTATCTTCGTTGACAAAACATACTCCTCAAATGTCTATGCAAAAATGCTTGACAAAGAGGAGAACAAAAGCTTCATGCTTACGCAAACTCCCTTTGGTATGTAGCTTTTCTTTTACTGGGTATCCTTAATAAACGATTGTGTTAAGAAGTTATAAGCTAAATCCCCACAATTGAAAAAAAAGTCCCATTATGTGTATGTATAGGAGATTGTGTAGTTCACTCTTGCCCTTCTATTTTTTTCTTTGTTTTGTTTGAATGGATCTGGTATGTGTATTGGGACACTATGGATGACACATGTTCACTTCCCTAAAAAAAAAGAACGCAGGAGATGCAGGCGCCGCGCCTGAGTCTGGGGCGGCGAAGCCGGTGGCGCCTGAGGAGCAAACGGCGCCTCCCGAGGCGTCGCAGAGCGTGGTCGGACCCGCTGTCCGGCCACGGAGCCCCCCGGTGGTGCCTCCAGCCGCAGCGGAGGAGGACGAGGTGGAAGAGATCGAACGTGAGGAATCTCGACCCCACGATGTCCGAATCCTCCGCAGACACGGCGACGAGGTGGTGGTTGTTGAGGAGGAGGACACCACCAGGGAGTTGAGGAGACTCGAGTCCGCCCTTGCCGGAGTGATGAAACAAATCAAGGTCAGTACTGCATTTGTAATGTTCATCTTTGACGTTAGAGATTATTCTTCTTCATAATCTTGGCGTCTTTGCAAGGGATAACTCGGACTACTGAGCAGCGGCGCCAGCTGATAAAGAGGATGAAGCCCTCGCCGAGGAGAATGAAAAACTCAAGGAGGCGATGAACCTTATGGAGAGAAACATCCAGAGGGCCCAGCGCGAGCGAGACCTTGCTGAGTCCAACGCATGGGACCTGGAATACCAGAAGGGCGTCCTATCCGAGCAGTTGGCGACCGTGTCCGAGCAGCTGCGTGGCAAGTCTGAGCAGCTGGCCACTGTCTTCAAGCAGCTGTCGAATGCTTCTGAGTAGCTGGAGCGGAAGTCCGAGCAGCTCACGAACGTATCCGAGCAGAAAGCAGGTATGGCGTATCGGCGAATGTGCTTTGTATTGTTGAGCTGTCATATTTTTAGTGATGACTGTTGTGCTTGTAGAGCAAGATGCGGAGCTCGGCCAGCTGCGCCAAACCGTCGAGCAACTCCGAGAGGAGAAAGCGAAGGAGTCAGGGCGAGCGTAGAAACTGGCCGAGGAACTGAAAGGTAAGTACTTCCTGGTCGGAGTTACTGTTGAAGTAGTTGCCTTGCTTGATGGAACATTGTAATGCTTGCAGACTACCGTCAGAGGGTCAAGGCACAGTTTGATGTGCTGGTGCAGGAGGCCAGGACCCAAAGGGACAAGTTCGACGCCGTAGTCGCCGGAGTCAAACCGGTGCTCGACTGCGTCGACCTGGAGGCGGCTCCTATGCCCGACGGTAGGCCGCCGCGTTCGGACACCATCATCGAGAGGTGCAAGGCGGCGTGGGAGAACTTCAAGAGTTTCAATCGTGACGCCATTGTTACCGCCGCTACTCACGCCCTTGCGGTGGTCCGGTCCCACTACCCAGCCATTGACCTTCAGGCGATAGGGGCCAGATTCGCCGAAGGGATGGGCGAGGCAGAGTACCAGCAGCTGGAGGATGAGGTGGAGGACGCGGCGAAGAAGTTGGCCGGCGACATCGACCTGTTCAGCGAGACAGACGGCGATGGCGAAGCTCGGTGATCTACGCGGAGAGTTATGCTGTATTAATTGGAGAGAGTAATTAGACTGCGCAAGGGCACAAACATACATTTATGTATATGTATAAATGTTGTAAAGTGACAAGTGCATGTTTATGCAGTTTGCTGGAATTGCGGTGAAAAAATCGTTGTAGTATTAACCCTAACGCAATTATACGTAGTATAAGTAGCGTCCGAGCAGTTAACTCGCTACTGAACTCTTTGGCCTTAGCTAGCCCATAGTCTATAACGTCGAGCGTGGAGCCTGTGCACGTGTAGGAGGAACATGTGTGACCAAGGAACCACAGCCGACCACCCATAACGCAGAGCGCGGAGTCCGTAGCACGTGTAGGGAGAGATCGAAGACTGGGTCTTCTCCATAGAGATCAGAGCGGAACATGTGCTTCTCGGCGGTTGGCGAATTAATTTGGAGATAAACGCAGTATAAGTGGCGTCCGAGCAGTTAGTTCTTCACTGAGGTCTTGGTCTTGGCTAGCCCATAGTCCATAACGTCGAGCGCGGAGCCCGTGCACGTGTAGGAGGAACAGGCGTGACCAAGGAACCACAGCCGACCACCCATAACGTATAGCGCAGAGCCCGTAGCACGTGTAGGGAGAGATCGGAGACTAGGTCTTCTCCATAGAGCGCGGAACAGAACGTGTGTTGCTCGGTGGTCGGCAAAACAATTCGGAGATATGGAGAAACGCGGCGGAGTGTTCATGGCGATCACATGTTGGAGATATAGAGAAACGTGGCGGAGTGTTCATGGCGATCACATGTTGGAGATATGGAGAAACGTGGCGGAGCAGTTATGGCGATCTCGTATTGGAGTTCGTTATGGAGTAGCTTAGAGCTCGACGACCGTAAGTGGAGATTAAATCGTAATGGAGAAATAATGGAGACAAATTATGGCGACCAAAACTTTATT